GTCATCTCTTTCCCTTAGCCTCTCCCGCTCTTCGCACCGCTAGCCCTCTCCCGATGTCACTCGCGGATCGTGAGCCGAATGTCCTCGAAACACAAGGTTCTCCCAGCACGTTCCCTGGATGAACCCCCACCGTCTACCGTTTTCTCCCTCTTTGCGAGTAGACAGTCAATGTCTGTTTCCCTTGACCGTTCACTTAGTCGCAGCGAACGCCTCGCGCACCCACTCAATTACTGCGCATCCCATTCACCCCGATTCTCCCGATCTCTGTCTAGTCATGGGGAGGCTGCACATGCCTTCTGAACTTCTCCCCATACTCCTGTTCAGGTCATGTGCCACGGTTTTCCCTCGATCATTCGTTTGGCTTCGTGCGTCAGAGATGCGATGCATGCCCCGTAAGTCGCTTCCCCCACTCGATGACCATGGCTGATCCAATTCGCTCGCAAGATGTTGTGGACGCCTGGCACACACACACCCCCTTGCTGAACCGGGTTGTGTTGTGTCATTACCAGAGAGGGCTGTGTACGCCTGGCGCGCCCGTTCGAATGTCCCTCGTCCCAATGAATCCTTGCACCTTGCTGAACCGGCCTATATCCCCATGGTACCAGGGGCCGTGGCCTTGAGGGGACGCCAACATAGCCAACTTTTGCGATGTTAGGGCCGATATTAGGGTTGTAGGTCCCATGTGGATGCCGGTACCGGCTGGTGGGCCGGTTAACGCCATGAACAGAAAGGTCAGCCCGTTCCCGTACCAAGCCAGCACCCACGCCACTGAAACCGTACGGAGTACTGTTCCAACCAAAACAAGGCAGCCGTGTGCCGTACCAATGGCAAAATAGTGAGCAGCAGCAGTCCGAACAGGGCTGCAGTACCGTATCCGGAAAATACAAATGTCGACCTGCTCTGTACCGTACCTGTTATGAACCTGAAAATAAGTATCAGCCTGCAGTACCGCGCCGATGTTGAACCAGTAACTGTGCCAATCCGAACTAGTGGTCATTCCGGTCGTCTCAACATCGAACTGAAGTAGCCCGTACCGATGCGTCTGCACCGTGTCAAATTAGAACTGGACTGCAGTTTCGTATCATCCCGAACCATTATCCATACCATTATAACAGTGTCACCGTCGTGTAGTAGTATCAATGGCAGCACCAAACCGACCATGTTACCGCAACCAAAAAAACAGTCCATCTGAGTCCCGCTCACTCAATACTACTCGGGGTATCGCAATGGCAGTAATCAGATAGATCGATGGACAGAAAGTAAATCAATGATCTCCGACAAAAATCCATCAAGAATGAAATCCGTCATAAATTAATCAAATAATTAATAATCATCTGTTTTTTTTTCTTTTATTATTTTTAACTTTTTTCCTTTTTTTTTTTTTTTACTATTATTTACGAAAATGGAGGTCAATTTCATTAAGAGTAAATTCCGACGAAATCTATTTAATTAACAGATTTTCATTTGTTTTCTTCCCTTTTATTATTTTTAACCCTTTTTCTTGAATTATAATTTTGTCGTCAAAATTAATAAAAATTGACGGTTCACTCCCTGATCAATTGCTAAGTGTGAAAAAGGGCGCGCCAAGCCCTAGCACCACATCCCGGCCCCGCGGCCGACCGCATCGTGAGCAGCCTCGGACTGAAAAAAAAAAGGGTAGCCACTAGGCGCGGCAAGTGCGACTGTTCATCATGTTGATTTCAAGGGTCAGTTTTTGTAATTGATGCGGGGAATTTTAGGGATCATTTTCCCACTCTTAATTTTTCCAGACGATTCTGATGAAAAACGTCGGTTGATTCTCTCGTAGGCACTTATCTCGAGGCCCAATCCATCATATTTCAGGTGGCCGACTGGGTTGTGGTCGCCCGACAATTAAGCCCGGACCTCTTCTCGACGCCCCCGTCGAGCCCGCTCCGTTTCGGTCAGACGAAGCGTATAATATTTAAGGTGACCACACGCGCGCGTCGCCTGCGCTTCCGCTTATCTGTCTTATGCTTAGGTTTTTCAGGGGCTCTAGGACTGAGAGGGTGTTTCTAGCCTCTCTTACGCCGTGGTCGTTTGGGTTTAGATATAGGGATGTTATTCCGCTTCTTTCTTCGTTGGAGTGGCAAGGCTGCAGATGCACCCCCACGTCTAACGCGGACTCTACGCTTAGGCCTCCTCAGCACAAAAAAACATTTCCTTCTCTTTCCCAGCGTCAAGCCCTTCACTTTCCTGGTCTTTGCTCTCTTCCTCTTCTTTGAACTCTCACCTACCTCGAACCGTCTTGACGGTCCCTCATCTGTCACCTTGGTTTTTCCCTTTCCCTTTGGATCCGATAGTGTTGGTGTAAAGGCAGAGGTTTCTCTTGGTCTGAATAACTTTAATCTAGCCCCTGCCACATGATCTTTCCACTTAGACCCATCTAACTCAGCAATCATGTATGCGCCCCAGCCAAGCACATCGACTACGCGGTATGGTCTCATCCATCTGTTCGCCAACTTCCCTGACCATGTCCTCTCTAATGCTGCATTGTAGAGAAGTACCATATCGCCCACACTTATCTTCCCCTTTCTAATCCTGACATCCTTATCCCATCTTTCCTTGCCTTTCTCTCTTTCCACCGCCAGTCGATCTGCTGCCGCCATGAGGTTATCATCTAATCCGTAGGCTATCTGTCTCGTTCGAGCTGCCAGCAGCTCCTCTCGCATCATACTGTCCGCCCAGTTAACTGTAGTCCAACTATCAACATGAAACTCTATGGGTAGGGGGCAGTATATTCCAAACTATAAAGTGTAAGGCGAATATCCCGTGCTAGCGCGGACTGTGACATCGTCTGCCTATATCGTGTATCGAAAATATTTTGGTCACTCACTATCTTTACCTTTACACCACTTGGACAATGATGCTATCAACGACTGGTGACCTCGTTCTACAGGTGAGTTAGATTGAGGATGGTAGGCAGGAGTTATGGAGACTCTAGCTCCTGCTTTCTTAAACATGCTTTGAACCTCATCCGCTAGGAACTCCGTTCCTCTATCCATTACGATCCTAATAACACACCCATACCTAGATAGATACTCCAGAACAAAGTTTTTGCTTCTCTGGCTACCTTTGTTCTGATATGTTTTCCGTCGACAAAACCAGTGAAGTCATCGCTGATGTTCACGACATAATTCATGTTTCCTACCCCTTTCGGCATCTTGACTAGATCAATATGCACCTTCTCTTCCGGCTTAGTAGGGTAGGATGGGTGAAGTGGCTCCTTGTACCTTACAAGGGATCTTTTCTGACATTCCTCACAGGTCATACAATACCTTTCTACGTTTTTGTACTGACCTTCCCACCAGTATAGTCTGCGCAGCTTCTCATACGTCTCTTTAACTCCTCTACCAACCACTCCGTCATGAAGCTCCGCTACCACCACTTGCTTCTCCTCTGGGTCACAGACCACTCGCAGAGGCATCCCTGATTATGTGGGTCTGCGGAATAAATGCCCAGATCTAAGGCAGCACTGAGTTGCATGTCTCCTGATTTCTGAATTTGAACTCTCATCTCCTATCAGATGCAATCCGATCGCCCGGTATTTGCCTTCATAAAGGTTAACTAGGAAACGATCCGTACGTCTAGGCTCAGTTATAGTCAGTGTCGCTGCAACTATTAGTCGCTCTGCCTCAATTGGTATTCGTGAAAGTCCATCGGCTACCGCATTCTTCGTACTCGAGATCCTCTCTACAGTATAGTCGTAGAGTCGAATCCTGATCAACCATCACGCAATAGTGGGGTCGGTCAGACGGAAGTCCTTCTGTAAAACCGACGTCACGGCGGTATGATCTATTCGCAGGACGAATCGTCTATATAGTGCCTAAAGGCGTCGGTTAATACCGCGAGTTCCTGAGGAGAATCCCAGTAAACTCGCTCGGTTTTCCTAAGGAGAATCCGTAGAGGCTCCGCCTTCTCCGCGTACCCACGTATGAAGATCCGCCAGTAACCTACAACCCCTAGGAATTGGCGGACTTCGGTAGCGCTATGCAATGGAGTTGCCCAGTTCAAGAGTTTTTCTAGTTCCGCTGGATCTGCTCGTCGTCCTTTCGAATCGCATATGTACCCTAAAATGTTGATCGATGAGACTGCCCACCGGCTCTTTGTCCTACTGACCGTTAGATTAGCATTATCTAGTTGTTCCAAGATCGCGTAAATGTTCGTCAAGTGCTGCTCTACGAATCTCCTGACACCGGGAGCAACCTCCGTTTCGTCTTTCATTACGGGCCCTTTTATCGAGAAGTCGTCTAAAAAGACATCGACTTTATTAGGAATAAAGTCTTTCAGAATAGCTACCATAGCCCTCTGGAAGACCGCAACTCCGTTGGTCCAACCCATTGGTACAATCATCATCTGCACTAATCCGAGAGGCGTATGCATCGCAGTAAGGTGTATATCTCTAGGAACTAGAAGTATCTCATCATATCACGAAAATAGATCGCAGACGGAGTAGATAGATCTGCATGTGGCTCCTTCCGCTAATAGATCAGCATGCAATATGGACCCGACGTCTCGGATGGTAACCGCATTAACCTTATGAAGATCCTGAATCCAACGGATCTTCCCATTAGGTTTCCGTTGGAAGAACCATCTGTTCGCGTAAGCGCTATCAGACGGCTCTGCCACATGAGACGCCATCTTCTCTTTTAGAAAGGCAATTACTTATTCTTTCTCCTTCTGAGCAAACTTCCACCCTGCATCATTCCATGGAGTGTGCGGAATCGTGTAGATCCTGGCAGGTTTGGCGTACCTAGGATCGATTCTTCCTCTTTCCGCGTCGCTAAAGGCTATGGTCTTGTCACAAGTCTTAAAAACCTCCAGCACGCGTCTCTTCTCTTGTTCTATCAAGTTCCCGTCTCCTATATCCATCTCGGCTATCCTCTCTTTTGTCAGTCATTGCGGCTCTCTCTTCTTCCTTTCCTTAATCTCTCAGACAATCTTTTCTTCAGATACCCCGTCTAGCGTTGATCGCTCTCGAGCTACCGCCGCCGACTTTACTTTTTGAGCTACTATCTTGTGCCTCTTTGGTCGCCCCCCGTAGGGTGCTGCACCCTTTAAAAAGACACAGAGATTATATCCCCAAACTCCTCATCTTCCACCTTCGGATATGAGTTTTCACCCACGAGGACGCGATTGCCTAAGTCTTCGACTTCCACTATGCGTCCTTCTTCCTCCGTGAGAGATGTCCCATACTTCTTCTCGTGAAATCGCAGCGAGCGACTCGCGAGGGTGGTTGGCTTGCGTGTGTCAGCAGCCGCGAAGACCGCTCTGTTCCTCGGATCACGAGGCTCGACTGTCTCTATCATAATCCGGCCACCATCTAGACGCTTAATTGAAAGCATCTGGCTTCCGTCCGGTCGCTCTATCGTTACCGCATGAACGTGGCTCAGCCACGTGCGTCCTAGTAGTAGCTCTGAACTGCAGTCACTGACCGCGAAGATAGGCATCAATACGTGCAATCCTTCGACCTCGATGGCCGCTTTGTGGCAGACCCCGGAGATCTTCTGCTTTCTTCCATCGGCTGTTTCTATCTCAAACAGGTAGGACCTGTCCAGGTTCAATCCTAATCGTTCTGTGAGTTCCCCGTCTATGATGACAGCTTTACTGTCATTGTCAATCACTCCTTGGAGAAATATCTCATCATTAAGAATGATCTCAACTGTCCCACTCCCTATAATGTAAAACTTATCCGGTGGTACTCCCTCCATTCCGTCCAAATAGACTATAGTCGCGCGTTCGGTCTTTGTGCTTACTCCCAATACTGCGACTGTGGGTACCTCTGGCTTGGAAGTCATCTGGACTTCGTCGCCTAGAGGAATATGCATCTTACGCGTGATCATCTGAAGCTCATCTCGCGCGGGTCTCGAAGCAGTCAAGTACTCGAGTATCGAGCACTGCATAGGTTGCCGAAGCGTGCGTCTAAGAGGCTCCATTGTATCAATATCGTCCAAGGAACTCTTCATGGTGAACTTTCGAGCTCCGTGCTTGCACGGTGAAAGTATAACTTCCTCTCCTTCAATCCTCTGTCCGTCCTTTTCTGCCCTCACATAGTCCGTGTCGTCCTTCTTCGACGATGAAGCCCTTGCAGACTTCGTCGTTGCAACTCGGATAGGCGTGGTTGGCATCTCATCTCCAGAGGGCAGCGTCATCCTGACACTCTGACTCTTCGCCGCCTCCTTCCCTTTGCTCGACCGCACCCGCCTGGCGTCAACGTTCTCCTTCATCGAAGGGAACATCGATACGTCGCCTAAATCATCTGCTCACTTGGTGTACTCGCATTCGTCAAGCATGACAAGTCCCTTGTCGATAGCTCTCCTGAGGTCCAGACAATCCCTCTTGACATGATCTTCCCCTCTGCAATAGATGCAGGAGTTCTTAGGAGTGGGCGATCGATCCTCTACACCCCTCGGAGTCGGTCCTCTCACAGGTCTGACATCTTGGTTGGAAGGCCCAGGAGATTTTAGATAGTTCGGAGACTTCGGGTACTTTGGCGACGCTGGATATCCTCCTCGATCATATTGGTCGCGTTAATAGTCCCGACGACCTCCTCCTCGCTCTACCTTCTCATAGCCGCCACAATATCCATCCCTACGGTCCCTGTCCGTTTCCCATCGACCACGGGAGTCATCTCTGTCTCTCTGGTTGAAATTGTCCGGGCTCCGGTATCCTTCCACGTTCTCATCATACCTGGGACTGCGGGGATACTGTTTCTGCCTTCCCCCTCGGCTAAAGGTGTTTGGCCCAGGGTACCTGTCCCCTCGGTGATCCCTATCAATCTTCTCATCCCTACGTCGCCAGGCGTCTTCATCTCTCTTTCGCTCGCGATAGTCCGCGAGTGTGCGAGGGTTTCTATCCTCCATGCTCCACCAAGGGTCAGTGTTTCTACGATCCCACCGCAATGAATATGGGGATCCTGGCTTGTCTCTGTAAGTCGTGGCTCTCGTCTTGGTCTCAATATTGGTCATTTATCTGGCTAGTCCCTTCATCATTTCTCTCATCTCCCTCATCTTATCTATCACTGCCTCTCTATCCCTGGATCGCTGTGGTCGGACTCCGTCCAGCAAATACCGGCGTTCTGCCCAAGGCTAATCGTTAAAATCGAGACACCTCTCCGCATCGTACTCACGATAGAGAGTGAAGTCTCGGCGTTGCATCCCTTTCCAGACTAGGTCCTTGTAATCGTCTGCCTCAGCCTTCATTGCCAACTTGAGAATGTCAGAACTCGCAGCCCGGACCTAATGTCAGAACCGGTTCTTTCACTCCAAGTGTCTAAATCTAGTTCTCGACAACCCTCAAAATAACCCTCAATCTTCCGCTCTCGTCTCAGATCTCGCGCTCGCCCTCAATACCTAGAATTCTCGTGTCAAGGAAAAGTCGCCCCTCCTGTCCCTCTAGCAGGCAGCACCTCTCCTGACCTTTAACACTCTTGTCTCAGGGCACCTCACTCCCCTACAAATTGTGCTCCCTATAGTGCGTAACTCCTCGCGAGTGCAGGCACGCAAGCGCTCTTGTAGATCAATCAATGTTCTCCTTTCCAATTGACTCAACCCTCGCCGTACGAGGTTGGCCCCTGCTAACGGGTACTCACCTCCTCTTGCCATCAAACTCCTGATGTCATAAGGCAAGCTCAACTACAGTCCCGTAGTTTCCCTTTTGCATAATTTGGTGAGGAGTAGGAGGTTTAGGAAGACCCACAAAGACCGTTATCCGAGTGTCCCAGATAACGTTTTTCCCTAGAGTTAGCAACTTATCTCTCTCGCCTTTAACAACCTCTTCCTCGCGCTCCCAACATCGACCGTATACAAGATCAACTTTTCTTTCCCTAGGTAGATAGATCCTCACATCATACACGTCTATGTACATAAAGCTGACGGTCATCACATAAAGACGTATCTCCTCTCATCCGCTATCCACAAGCTCGTACCTTTCTACCTCGTATGGGATCACCTCTCTCTTCCCTAACAAACTCAGCAGGCCACATATAGTCTTTAGTTTCTCCTCGGATGGTCTGTTTTCGGCAAGAAATTTCTCTTTCCTCAACTCCAACCCGCGATCAGAGATAATTCTTTCTTCGCTCATCCCTACATCCTATTATTTTTCTGTCGATTTCTTGGGACCGTTTCTCGTTTCGACCATCCTAGCAAAAATTACTACCGCCTCCCATCCATTCCGTTCTAATCCTCTGTCCGGAATCGGCGGCCTAGGCAAACCGTCGAAAATCGAAATATCGTCACAGACCTCGACAATCTTCCCTAAATTTTTCAATCTCTTCTTCTCTTCCCTCAATTTTCAGGCGGCTATTCTCCAACACCTCGTGTAAACACAGAACTCTGTCCGCTCCCTAGGTAAGTATATCGCGATATGGTATACTCCTAGGTCGCGAAAGTGTACGGTCATTACATAAAATTGATTCATGTCCCAACCGCTGTTTGCTACCTGGTACCTGACTAATTCATAGGGAAAGATCTCTCGTCTGCCAATTGCGCTCAGACCTCGCAGTACTTTCTTATGTTCAGGATCACGGGGTCCGCTCCATCCCCCAAACTTCCGTCTCCTTCGCACCAACTCTCCCTCAGGTGGGCTTATCTCTTGCGCAACATTTGCAGGTCACCTAGCATACTAATCCAACTAAAGCAAGCGCCACTAACATCCTATCCGCGGATGCTCGCAGGACCAGGTAGAAAGCTTCAAAGTCGTCGCTGTCCCCGAAGTCCTCTATGTCCTCTACGGTACCGGTTATGTGTCGCGAGTATCCTGAGAACAGCACCGTCAACTATTACTCTGACTAACTTTCCTGCCTTCCTGGCCTCCTCTTCTAGGAGTCTCCCAGTCTCTCTCGGTGTCTCGTGCCACGATCTAGACAAGGGTCGCCCATCGAAAGGAGTCACACACAATATGTATCTAATCAGACGACCGTTTTCAACTCCTACCTAGAGCCCGGTCACTCGCGCGTCCCTCACCGTTTGCCGAGTACACTCTGCTTCCTCTATCACACTGAGTTTCGCTAAGTGTTCTACTTGCATCACTACACAGGTCACCGATCTATCTAACTTCCCCACGACATGTAAGGAAAACTTATCATTGGAGTACTGAGTCGTACCGGTTATTATTTCCTATCATCGTTCTGATGCTCCTTCCTCACTTTCATTTTTTTTCACGTGTGTAGCCTCTGGCGTGTCATTCGGCCGTTCTGTCGATTTTGACGACTGCCCCGATTCCTTGCGGTTACGATTTCTCGTCTTCATGCTTTCCAGAAAATATAATCGCCACCTCCTGAAGATCTCTCTGTCTTCTCTAAAGAGACTCTCTAGTTCCCTTGTTACTGCTTTTATCCTACGCAACTCCCTTTCACTCTTGCTGGCTCCGCAGTCCCGAATCTTGTTGCCTAGCTCCTTGACTCGCTTTAAAACTGGCTCTATAACATGCTCCTTGACTCTCTTCACCCTCTCATCTACATTTTTCATTCTCAACTATCCATCTCTTCCTAAGTTCCGAGGGCTTTTCACATCTTACTCCGAGCTTCCGTCGGCGTCTCGTCTCGAACTATCTTTATGCGTTCAACCCCTTTTATGCAGACAACCACTTCATATACCATCCACCTCTATGTCGTTATTTCCCTCAGTGCCCCTAGCCTCTACTCTCGTATGACATCCTCTGCAAGTTCTTTGTACTCGTTGTCCGACAACTCCTCATTTATACTCACCCTCAGGAGAATCTGTAGCGTTCCGTCGTCGCATGCTAAGCGTCTAGAAACTGCTCGCGCATATGGCAGTCGTCGCAAGAGTGGCTCATATCGTTCGTCAACACGCTGACGGCTTGTCACTATTCCGTGAGCGACCACTCGAGGATTTCTATCATCCACACTCCTCCATGAATCGGAATCTCTGCGATCCCACCGGAGAGAGTACGAAGCTCGGGGTCTATGTCGGTACAGCGCCGACTCTCGCTCTGTCATGTCAATGCAATCCGACTCATACCCTGCTCCTTGCCTCCGCTACTGTCTCGTCAAATTCTCAAAACATTTAGCAATATCCGCCGAGAAGACAATGAAAATTTTATCCGGGAGATTGTAACAGTAATTCTGCACACAGTCTACAAGCCACCAATAAACCGCATCGATTCCGTGAAAGACTTTTGCCATTCTCCTTATTTCTCCACAGTGGGCTTTGACTGATGGGGTCAAGACTTTAAGCGCAGCATCACAAACCTATGCTGGGGATGTCAGCAGTGAGTTCACCGCATTTGTAAGTCACCTAAATGCCTTCTTATGCTGCTTATAGATAGCCATGATATACGACAACTTTTTTGACTGCAGCCTTATCCACGGGGCTATCCTATTGAGCGACAGACAAGCCTCCTCTACAACCTCGCCCTGGGATATACTAGAAAACTCAAAATCCGAGTCATTTAGTCTTTCCAATGTCAAGGCGCGGATCAAATTTTTGCACACAAAGAAGGGGGTATTTGCTGCTTTATCCGTTCCCACAACATACATCGACTCAGTTAGGAATCTGAAAGTTGAACCGAACTGGAATTCATTCATCTGGTCAGAACACCTTGCACGACCATCACTAAGAGCCGCTGCTATCTCATTCTCGACAATACTACCCATACGCAGAACCACTCCCATCGGTAAAAAAACATACCTCAGGATGATACGGATGACCTCATTCCAGCCTTTCATGCATTCATCAATTACCTGCTTCTTCATATGCGCTCTGAGGGGTATATGATTCTGATCGAGCTTCAAAACTCAAATCCTTTGTCCCCTGCGATCCCAGAATCCATGGCGAGGACATGAGTAGAGGCCCTGCTGGTGGGCTGGGTCATGTGGAGAGTTTCCTCCATGTGATAACCCTGCAATTTGTCCGAGTCACAGGGACAAATTTCGTTCTCAGTCATCGAATCATACCAATCCGCCAGACAAAATCCGTTGAACACACTGTTTGGTTTGTAAACCAGCTTGCCAATGCAATCATCGAAAGTCCATCCAATCATAATGAGTGAGAAAATTGTTAGAACTCCAGGTATCCCCAAGTCATTTAGGACAGATTCAATGATGTAACCGAGGTTGATCTTATCCATGGTCCTTCCTATGTAGGGGATATACACACACAAACTCCTTCTTTTTCTCGATTTATGCGTGTCATCCTTGCGCAGGGGCCATGCTAATCTTCTCTGTATCGTTCTAATTTTAACGGATGTCCCTAAAGACCAAACTCCTCCTTTTTTTTCTTTTTTTTTTTACAGAAACACAATTCCTTATAAGAACATAAGAATTTGAGGTCGGGGACCTCACAATTCAACCCGGGTTATCTGACAGCATCAGCCAGCTTAGCTTACAAGCCATAGCCTGCGGAACCCGCTCTACCGAGTTCCAAGTGCGAACTAAGTCATTGCGTGATCATTTGGTAATAATTCAGATAGATTTGCGTGAAGGAGGTATCCTTTAACTTCTACGTTTCCTGGTCTGTGACTCTTAACTGTTCTACACTTAATCGAACTCCAACCACTGAAACTGCAAAAGTGTAAACTGGGACTAATGCGGCCCAGCGGACCCGGTTCCTTGTCCCGGGTCCCAGCAGCCCGACACTCTCCTAACTGGCCCACTGTGGCTCTGAAGAACCGAGTGTCCTGGTTCCGCTAGACACTCTGGCTAACTAATTCTGCCCTGTGGGAACCGAGTGCCCAGGTCTCCCCAGCGAGTTGGCCTTGCCACTACCTACCTATCCTGAATTCCCAGACTTTCATGCTACCTATCTCCCTTGCAACTCTGCTTCGTGACCCAGTCTGAGATTCTCAGACCATTCTCTGGGTGCATCACTGCCAACCTCTCGTAGCATGCCCATGTGCGCTGGAACCAGGCACTTTGTCTCCTGTTGCCTCTTCCCGCCTTGGCCTTCCTCCTCCAATCCACTCTGATGGCGTGCTTGAGACCCATCTTGATTCTACCTTTAATTTCCACGTCCGACAGCGGGCTTTTCGAACCTCGCCCGATTCCTGTCTGCGCAGATTACCTCGCAGATAATGCCCCTAGTCACATGTGCCACGTAGCCCCAACCTGACTTCCCACTCAGCCCTATGGGAAGAAATCCCAGCAGAGCCCAGGTCTCATCCCAGTTTAGTAATCCTTCCTCCATTTCTTTCCAGTGCGTTTCCCACCACCTCCAAACTCGCTTGGATGCCGGGCATTCCCACCACAGATGCTTGGTAGATTCAAAAGGCCAGCGACATCTGGTGCAACCCAGTTCCACGGCTACTCCCCGACTCAGCAACCGGACAGCTGACGGTGTTACCATTAGAGACAATAGCCACAAGATGCTTACCTGTTTTCCATTGGGCAATGCGCACAGGGCTTTCCATAACTTGCTGAAATTGACCTCCGATAGCTTGGGGTCTGAGCCCAGGACCTTTTCCCACCTGGAAACGGCCACTGCAACCGGGGTTTTGGTTGCCTTTGAGGCCAGATTATAGCCTTCACTCACGTTGTAGTCCAGCATGGGCAACAGAGGATTCGACCGGTTTTCCGTAGTCGGTCTGCTCCAGTTCCAGGCGAGCGGGTCAATCCTTAGCTGTCTGAGAGTGCATTTGCCAATCCAGGTGACGTCTCCCTGAGAGTTCTTGGTGGCTTGTCTTTCCACCACTCGAATTTGCGGTGGGTTACACCACTTCTGCACTGTGACTTTCCTTATGAATGTCAATCTGTTTCCCTGTTTCCCCCCTTGCCATTCCTCCACCTTTCTGAAGCCACTTGACGTGATCCCTACCACTTTCCAGGCTACGCAGTCCTCTTCCTGATCTTCTGCGGCGTACCAAGTGCCTGTTGGATCCACCTCTCCGGTCCTAGGATGTTCAGCCAGTCCTGCGGGATGGCCTCTCGCAGCGTATTCCAATTCTCTTCCACCCTCCTAAGGCCGTTCAGGTGAGTCATTAGCTCCGTTAGAGGTACCCATTGACCCATCAGGGAGGACCAGATGTCTCTAACTCTGGAGACTCCCCTCTTTATCCAGGCGAGACCGAAAGAACCTGCCGAGCCATCTGCGTGAAGCACAGTCCCCCCCTGAGAGCGAACGCAAGGGTTTTCAAAAAGGTGTTGGGCCAGCACCTCTTCTTTGGTTTGCGGTGGTGTAGGGACGTCCGGCGGGAGGTTCTTCCAAGCTCTCAGGATCGCCTTCCAAAACAGCGACTTTGGGCGTTTCCTTCTGAAGGAGTCCATGAAGAAACCCACCCAGACATCCTCCGGCCTGCTGAGATTCCATTCCCTCATCAGCAGTCTTTCTGCAAGAAGTACCCAATCCTGTTTGACTTCAGCTACAGCAGCCTTGCACACCCAACCTCTGAGCTGCGCAAACTCCTTTCTATTCCACGTCCAGCTTCACGATATTTATCCAATCCTCTTTGCTATTGGGACCTTGCCCCTGAGGCAGAGGTCCCACCGATAGTGGTCCCGGTAATTCAAGTCTTCGTTTTCTGACTGTCGTTTACAAAGATCTACAGCAAAGGAAGGAGGAATGTGGGCGGAGGGGACCCAGCCCCTGGAACGGATCTACAGCAAATGAAGAAGGAATGTGGGCGGAGGGGACCCAGCCCCTGGAACGGCTGCTGTGGGAGTGGTCTCTCTGGATCCTCGTCGGCTGAGATGAGATTCAGATTCTGGACCAATATGAGGACCCGAGCTCGAAGCGCCGCGTGCTGTGGGCTCTGTGGCTTCGGATTAGGTTCGTCTCGGCATGATTACCGGGGCCAAGGTCCCACTTGCACAGAGTAAGATATTCTGGCCGTTGATCTTTGCTATCCTATCTACCGTCAATGTCGCTTAATTCGTGTAAGTGGGACCTAGCCCCGGAGCTGGAAACGCCGCGGTACTGTGGGGCTCTGTAGCTTTTGAGACTCGGCTCTTGAGGCTGAGGGCGCCGGTTCGAATCCGTGCTTTGCACGGAGGAGGTCCTGTGACTGATAAAGTACAGACTGAGTAGGTTCGTCTGAGTGAGTATTTCGATCCCGAGCCTCACAAGCGGTATGTCTGGGTGCACGAGATTTGAAAAAAAGTGGGCGGTTTTCATTCCCCCCAAAAACCGCGCGACGGTCACGCCGCCAGATGGAGACGCAGATCTCCGAATTGATTTTTTCGACAGCTGAAGCAACGGGCGGCTTGTAGGGAAAGGTGAGCCTCTCACGCCCTGTGTTTGGCCCTCAATAGCATCCTTCCCTCTCTCTCTCTCTCTCTCTCTCTCTCTCTCTCTCTCTCTCTCTCTCTCTCTCTCTCTCTCTCTCTGTGCGTTTCTCCTCCCCCCCTCCCCCGCGTGTGTGTGTGTGTCGCCCTCTCTTCCTCTGCGAGCGCACGACGCACGTGTGTTGCCATGTTCGCTATACACTACTCCATAAAAATAAGCATGCGTACGTGTGTGTGTGTGTGTGTGTGTGTGTGTGTGTGTGTGTGTGTGTGTGTGTTGAACTCGTTGGGAGAGATTTCACTGTTAACTCGTATGAAACGAGAACCTTCCGGAAAGGCAGAGTTTTTAACAGTTATAAGTAGTTTAATTACAGTATATTAAGGAGTCGTTTTTCAAAGTGTGGAAGATGAGCAGGTGGGGGGAAAGACTACGGGTAGGAGGGCGAAGGTGTAGCGGAGCAACAGAAAGATAGATGAGAGTGGAGGATTGGGATAAGGATCAATAAGCGAGAAAGGAAATACAAATTGATGACAAGAATGGTTTCCTTTTCCTTTCAAATCTGAGAGATTAATTGAGATAAGGATAAGGACAACGCTTCCCCCGCCCCCCTTTCTTTTTAAAGGCAGCATTTTTACTTTTCCGGCGGTGCTTCACGTCTCACCATGGCTGCCGCTTCTTCATGGTCCCCATCATCGTCCTTATGGTTTCCAAATTGGGCCTCATCCGTTCCTGACTTCTTTCCTTTTCCCCCCCCCCCTCTTTTCTAATAAACATTATTGCGGGCGCCGTCCAGCAGAAATGTTTATTATTGCGGGCGCCGTCCAGCAGAAATGTTTATTATTGCGGGCGCCGTCCAACATTACCCTCTACCTTTTGGATGGTTCGATCCTCTTTTCTCCTCTCGTCCATTCTCTCTTGCCTCCCATTCTCTCTTCCCTCCCATTCTCTCTTCTCTCCCATTCTCTCTTCTCTCCCATTCTCTCTTCTATCCTTCTCCCTTCCTCTTCTCTCCCATTCTCTCTTCTCTGGCACTCTCTCTTCTCTGGCATTCTCTCTTCTCTGGCATTCTCTCTTCTCTCGCATTCTCTCGTCTCTCCCTTTCTCTCTTCTCTCGCATTCTCTC